ACAAATTTGCTTTAGATACGTACTTCAAAGTTGGTATTTTCAGTCTTCGCCGGAAATAATGGTTTATTCATTGGTTTATTATGTTATAAATAAATGTCAAAAAATCTGATTATAGCTGCTGGGCTGATTGTAGATAGATAAATAAATAAATAAATAAAAAATAAAAAAATTCATTGGTCAGGTCACAACACTCATATATAATATTACGGGAGTCTGAGGGTCGGTTCAAAGTAGCTCGGTTACGTAGTGAGTAAGTGGCATGACCAGCGTTTGTAGTTGTAGTTAGTGCCTTAACGGCACTATCGTAAAAGTCGGTCACAGGATAGGTGACCAAAAAAATATTATCTCAAGCAACTCCAAGCTTCGAAAGGCACGTAAAGCGATTGGTTCCGGTTGTATTTGCAGTCATTAATATCCTCCAATCCGTAATGGGCCAGCATGGAGGGTTGTGGCCCATACTCCTTAACCATCCATAAGGAAGGCCTGAGCTCCTGCAGTTGGTGACGTAAAAGGGCTGATGATGATGATGATGATAAGGAATGTGTATATATATATTTTTATATCAATAAATAAAACTCCACGTTCACTCCACTTTTATTGACAAAGAAAGAGATTGAACGTAAAGCGCTCGGTCACGGGAGACACCTGAAAAACGCGAAGCGTATTTATATACCCATCGCCAGACTCATGCACTATAAAGTTGAATCTGAAACATTTATCGTCAGGGACAATCTCTTGAGCTCTCGGAGAACTCATACAACAAGCGTTTGATCTCAGGAAACTTCTGAAGATCGCATAGCGCTTCTAACTGCTGATCGTAACATACATGCAGTATGGTATGAGTATGAAACTTCCTTTGATAGAGAAATGCGCTTGGTCTCTGAAAGAGCTCGCAATAGTTTGCACAATAGAGATCAAGGAAGTGGTTTCGATTATCGCCAACCCGTGTTGCCTTCATACTCCACAGGCGTACCGCAGATAGGTTTTCACAAGGTATAATGAACTAGCTGTTTTCCCGCGACTTTACCGCAAAATTTTAGTCTATGACATCCGCGTCTGATATAGCTTCCCGTAGGTCGGAATGGCTCTGAAACTATCGTTCCAGTAGTTTTGGGGCAAATTCGATGCATACAAACAAACAATCACATCTTTTCTCGTTATAATATTAGTATAACTTAGGTATAAGAGGTCCGATGGCGTAGTGGGTTAGCGCATTCGATTTAAATTGCATTGAAATAAATAAGTAAAATACTGCACAACAAGGACATATCTATATGAATACTTATTTTACATAACTACAAATGACAAACTCATCGCTAGCAAGCGATTTATTCTAGGCAACCTAGCATTACATGGAAAATAAAATAATAAATAACCGATTGTGCATACAACTAGGCAAATAATAATAATTTAAAAAGATCAAAAACAAAAGGACAGTTTCAAGGTGTGAATAAAATTCTCAGACACAAGCGACAACCAGAGCGCGAAAAACGAGAAAAAAGATAGAAAAATTACATGCGTAAGGACAGGATGGGTGACCAAACCATTATTATCTTTAGTACTGTGCACAACACTGGCACAATGCACGTTAAGCCGTTAGTCCTGGCTGTATCAGCGACGTTAACATCCACCGATCCGCATTAAGCCCGCATAGTGGGTTATGGCCAATAAAAAAATTCTACCAAAATACTACTCACACAGACGAAGTTGCGGGCACAGCTAGTACTTATTAAATTGCGAATGGTTCGAATCCCACCTCAGAGTGCCAGGGACAAAGAAGATATTTTAAACATTTTACATTAAGAATATTTTCAATATAGCATTGTAAATGCAAAATTGATAAAATATATAGGTAAACATTAGTTTTTATTAAAGTAAGTATATTTTTGACTCCCTGGTCGCTGAACAGATTTGGATGAATTCGCTCGCTTGTTATTGTTAGTATAAGCGGGGCATTAGAAATAATAATACCAATTTCTCGTAGTCATAATAATTATATGACATTGATTTCCCCAAGGTACTCACCGCTCATTCTTTGTTTGATTTCAAGCTGCCAATCAGCCTACTCATCCATCAAAACTATTGAATCTGAGTCAAAATGGAAATCAAAATGGAAATTGAATCTGAGTATGTATCCCAATAATTACTGGTGTAATTCTACTTCGTCAATTCATATATTTGAAAATAATATCTAACTGACAACTGATTTTATTTTATTTCTCTACAGGAAAAATAGGTTCAGAACCCTGGCATACCGCCATAACAGAATTATAAGGGCCCTATTAATGACAATTGGTATATGGCCAATGGAAGTATTTGAAGCAAAATTGCATTTCCTTATTAAATTCTTTCGATGGTACCTCCCGGTACTAGGACTTTTTATTATCTACGGGCAAATTAATTATTTAGTGGAAAATAATGGAACTATATCCTTCTACTTCATAGGACAAATCTACATAACAATATTCCTAATATCCGAGATGTTTTTAAGTATCAATTTTTTATTATTTTAATTTTTTAAGATAAGCTTCTGTCCTACTACCAGTAATGATCGTGACTTTAGCAATTCTTGTTGTCACCTTTGGGTGTCAAAATAAATGTTCTGTATTTGATTTATTTAAACCTAACTGTTAAGAGGGAAACCATCGACCACTACGGCAGCACTAATTATCGATTTCACCACGGACAACCCTATATTTTAGTGTTTTTTTTTAAGTAACAGTTTGTTAACTGTCAGCATCTAAATGACTGATGCTTGATCAGTTTCGCGCCAATATACGTCATTCTTGTAGAATTATAGGAATCGACATGGTGATTTTGAATATATCAAGTGTAAGCCCGAGTATAACTATTTAATCGTGATGAAAATATTATTTTTCTCGAATCACACATTGGAAAAATAGAATGTATGACATAGATGTACTTAATTCATGTCGCTTATCCGGTAAAACAGTGATACGGTATGTGTACTTCCTTACTTACAAGTAAAAAAAAATCTTTACCATAAACTTCTTAAAAATACTTTTAAATCGTCGAACATTTTTACCCTACCACAAGCATAAGAATAAGACAAAAACGACGTTGACGTATCATAAGTAAGTAACAGTTGCAGTCAGTTTGCAACCGAGTTTTCCACTGTGGATTTCAAATTATTGTAGAAGCTTTTTAGTTTTAATTCATTTAATTGAACTTCAATAAAAATTTCGACACGAGGAAATACACATATTTTTACGCGTCTATACATTACTGTCAATTACTGTTAGATAAATTTTTGATTATGACTACTTTAAATGTTTAGAATTTATTACGTTACGTTTATTTACTTATTTTTTAGTGCGTACAAGTAAAAGCTTATTATTAAAAAACTTTATATTTTTTTTTTACTTTTTAGTTTTTCCTCATTCTAATCATTTTTGGCATAGCATCTGAAATGCTTAATATGTTGTTGTTCTCATAAAGACGTCATAACAATAAAATGGACTTAGCTCAGGAAAAGTTTCATTGCATAATTTTTCGATTTAAGTGTAATTTGATCTGCTCAGCAATGCCTTGTTCCGCTGCAATCTGCTTTTGGCAAAAGAGGACCATGCAGGACGACTATTTATAGGTGGTTTGCAGAATTCAAACGTGGTTGTATCAATCTTCATGACGAAATTTGTGAAGATCGCCCGTATTCGCTCCGTATAATCAAACAGACAGTTCAAGTTAGCAAGTGACCTACCATGAAATCCGGACATCTTTGGACATAGGCATGAGTTAAATACAGTCAATCCTACACAAACATTTGGGTGTGAGAAAGCTGTGTTCTCGACGGATCCCACACAATTTGACTGAAGCCCGAAAAACGGACCACATAGCTTGGTACCATGTTATGCTTGCCAGAGACAACGTAGGGGCTTAAAGTCAGTGTGGAACATAGTGACGAAGCATGAATAGCTATGTGCACGAAACAAAGCAGTAACCGAGCGTAAAGATTTTTCGAAATGAGCCGAATCCATCTTGACGAACCAAATTGGAGCGCGTCATGCATGAAAAGGGCTTCGAAGTGGTTGGTTGCACACAAAAACACATTATATAATCATAACAGTTGCTTTTATCATAAAACTGGACACGTGGCTATTGTTGCTCAGAAAATATAAAATGGACTTCACTCGGGAAAAGATTCGTTGTATGATTTTTCGGTTTAACAATAATTTGACACTCGTTCGGCTTCAATCTGCATTGGGCGAAGAAGCACCGTGCAGGATGACTATTTATAGTATCAATTTTCATGACGAAATTTTTGAAGATCGCCCGTATCCACTCCGTATGATTAAACAGACAGTTCAAGTAAGCATGTAAGCTACCATGAAATCCAGACATCTTTGGACATATGTATGAGTCAAATACAGTCAATCCTACACATACATTTGGGTGTGAGAAAGCTGTGTTCTCGACGGATCCCACTCAATTTGACTGATGCCCGAAAAACGGACCGCATTACTTGGTACCATTTTATGTTTGCCAGAGACAACGTAGGCGCTTAAAATTTGGTGTGAGAGATAGCGACGAAGCATGAATAGCTATGAGCCAAAAACAAAGCAGTAATCGAGCGTATGGATCTTTCGAAATGAGCCGAATCCAACTTAACCAATCAAATTGGAGCGTGTCATGCATGAAAAGTGCTTCGAAGCGGTTCATTGCTTTTTTTAAATAAAAGTGGACACGTGGTTACTGTTACTTAGAAAATCAACGTACCGTAAATGGAGACCATTTTTTTACTGAAAATTATTAACAAACTCTGTGACACAGCTAGACATACAAATGAGGTTTTGAAGGCAAAAAGTGAACACCTTGTGTCATTTTCTATTCCTAAAAATCTTCTATTAATAAAATATGATGAGATCGAAGAGGTATCAAAGAGTATGGAAAAAATGTATGTGCGTCGCCACAGTGGATCATATGAAAAAAAGATTGACGCAAAAGGAGACTATTTTGAGAAACAATAAATTCATTGTTGACCATTAATGATATTTTTTATTATTGATTCCGGAAACTTAGTGCGTCCCACGCATGTCCCACATACACAGTATGAAAGTATAATAAATTTGTGTATTTCAGCCCAGAACCTTCCTTCCTCATCAGAAGGCCTATGGTGAGCTTGTATATTTCTTTTATACGAGATTTCATTTGGAACACTTTAAACATAAAGGACCATATTATAAAAAGGTAATAGATTCATTTTGTACCTAGATCTTCTGTTTTAGAAAAAAAAAGAAAGCTACAAATAAGCTGCAATTAAAAATGAGAAAAAACTCACAAAGTTAACCCTTTTCTCTTTCGTTGGGTTTTAATCAAAGTAACATTCTGTTGACTATCTGACGTGTCAAATGTAAAATTAAACCATTTTTTTTCTAATTTTTACAGACCCACGAATTTGTGTGCAAATTCTCCAACCACTACGTTCATTTAATGACTTTATTGATGGTTTCTGGAGTATTCTTTTATAACGCCCTACCGTGGTACCACAACTACAAAGTTGGTGCTCTGTCTAATAATCTTGCAGAAAATGAAACCATCGATTTCTCTGTACTTTATTATTATCCCGGATTTAAACCCGAGGATCATTACTGGCTTGTATCAATTTGGAATATTTATTTAAGTTTTATCTGTGCTGTTAACATTTGCATGGTGGATGTGTTTCTGGCATTGATGGTGTTTCAAATGATAGGGCACACGAAAGTGTTGATTAATAGCCTTGAGAATTTCGGAATACCCAAATCACAACGAGAAGTTATGATGGGAGGAAAAATGAAAATAAATGTCGGATTATTCGATGAAGAAGAAAACAAAATTATGTGCAACAAAATGATTGAATGCATTAATCATCATAGGCTTATAATAAAGTACGTATAATGAGACATCTATTTATAATTCTGGAAAATATCCAAATTAATTTGCTTTTTAATATAATTAACGTTTTAATTCCAGATTCGCCAACGACGTGTCCTCTATACTAGGCCCTACGTTGGCATTCAATTATTTATTTCATCTTATCAGTTGCTGTCTTTTGTTGCTGGAATGTTCTCAATTAGTATGTAAACAGATAATTAAAATAGTGTTAATTTAAAATTTGCTCATATTTTCACGACGCTTTTTAAATGAAGTAAACAGCATTAGCAAAACAATTTACAGGTGGAGCACGTAAAAGAGACGTGGTATTGAACCGTGACAGAAACATATTCTGCTTTGCTATTCTGTTACAAATACATTTATATCACAGTGTTCAACACAGTGCTATCACAGCATTATTAACTTTTGACGTAAGTAAGTATGTCTTATTTGATTGAGCCTCTAAAACAGTAACAGTGCTGTGTTCGAAGCTGTATTTTTAACAGAATGACATTGCAGTTTTTATCCATTTTGTATGTGCTGTGATATGAACACATTCACTGATGAAACTAATAAAACGTTCTTATGGCTTAGACTAAAGTTAGAGAGAAAAAGAGAGTTTTAGGTGGTCACACCCCAGATCCCTGGTATTGTAAGTATATTACTATACCTTTTTTTTTTGATAATGCAGGGGTAATGCACCTTAAGCCTCAAATTAGGGCTCTTCGACCACCCCTCCCTAAAAAGGGCATGTTAGTGTAGCTGGCCTAGCTGACAAAACCCGCTGCGGTTTACCTCATGTATCCGGTATTCTGCAAGGAAAGTCCGGTCTCAATCCGCTCCGCTGGGAGTTGCCCTCTGCGGGATATATTACATTTACATAAAACTCAGTGGTCGTATTTACATCGCAGTTGCTATCAGATTACACAGTGTCTAGGATACAAATTAGCAAAACTGACTATTCTGACGGTTTGCAGTGTTCTTCTTGCTCACAGCTATTTACATATTTAGAATATCTATAACATTTCAGAGTCTCCAAGCAATAGGACAATATGGGCCATTGACACTTATAATTTTCAATCAGCTTTTGCAAATTTCTATATTATTTGAAATTTTTGGAGACGCGGTAAGTATTTTTTATAACCCAGGACTTCAGCAGCTTGCACAAAATTTCATTAGTTTAAATCGAAAATATTTATACAAATTTGATATTCATTAGAGTTTAAAGGCGTCATTAAACCTTAATGGACGTTTGTGCAGCTGACCGTTAGAGTATTAAACCAACAAGAGTTTGCCGTCTAAGAAGGGGCTGAGGTATCATAGAATAATAGTACTCCTAACGGAGGAGGTAATGCGCATTAACTAAAATGTTAACAGTAATGCATTTTCGCAGCATGTCGCTATGAACGCACACGCCAAAATGTAACACACTTTACGTAAACAACTACACGCACACAATCATATTCACACAATAGAACTTATAGACGTTTCACGTGGTTACACTATAAAATGGCGTGAAATAGCGCAAGGGACTTATCGATATCGATAGATAACTTCTTTATTAATGTTAATTTTGTATGCATTATTTAACTAAAAGACACATCTTCTTCTTCTTACAACGGGCGTCTCCGCAACTCGACGACCAAATTGCGCCTATTTTGCGTGTGGAGGGTGTGTGGCTGGATACTACTCCAGCCAGCCCAGCTCTGCCAGGAACGCCCCGAGCGCCTTCACATCTGCGATGGCCTCTTGGAGGTTGCCCGGCGAGCCGAGGTACTTTGCCCGGTAGTTGGCCACTCCGTTGCATTCCAGCAAGACGTGAGTGGCTGTTTCTTCCGCCTCCATGCATCCTCTGCACAAGGGGCTGTCAGTGACACCTAGATTGAAAAGGTGCCTGTTAAAGTTGCCATGACCAGTAATAGCACCCGTTACCAGGCGCAAATATGGTTTACTTAGCTGTAGGAGGGCTTTGGAGAGACGAGCGTTCACTCGGGATAGTGCAAGTTTGGCCTGCCTGCAGGTTCCCAAAGTGTGCCAGTATTGTTGATGTAGTTTACTCGAGTGTTCACGTATCCTACCAATTAACCAGCTTACCGGAATAGGAATGATCGGTTCCGGGCCCATTGGTGTTGCATCTGATCCTCTGCGTGCCAGTTCGTCAGCTGCATCATTTCCACGTGATCCACTGAGTCCTTTTATCCATTGGATAGTAATTATATTGTGTGTCCCTACCATGTTTAGAACCTGGTGACACTCCTGTAGAAGACTCGATCGGACAGAACTTCCTTTGAGAGCCTGTAGGACTGATTTACTGTCCGAGAAGATCCGGATTTCTGATCCTGTCACCTTCCTTGTAGTTATCGCTCTCGCCGCCAGGGTAATCGCCATACATTCAGCCTGGAAGACTGTATTATATGGGCCGAGGGGCAGGAACAGATGTATGTTAAGGTCCTCAGAGAATACACCAGCCCCTGTGCCTGTTAAGGTTTTGGAGCCGTCCGTGAAAACTGTGAGGGCCCTGTGTGTTACCTTTGGATCGTCACTGTCCGTAAGATGTATCTTGTATTTCTTGTCAAAGATGAAGGTGGATTCGATTCTGTCGCAAACCGCCTCTACAAGCGGGGTGTTAAGCCATTCCTTCAGTAATACTATCACTATCTATGATCTATAATCACTAAAAGACACATATTCGTATATATTTATTCTAATATTATGAAGACCTAATATTTTACAGTTTGTTTGTTTGCAATGAATAGGCTGCTCTAACCACTGAGCTACCCAGAACCTATTGTATTGTTTCGAGTTGCGGATTATCTAGAATCTAGGGTTTCTGCAGCCCAGTATCACTGCGACCATTGCTGATCTATTATGATCTCCACATACTACAGTTCACGGTCAAGATTACATTCTGCAAGAAAATGTAGTATTTTCTTGGCCGTAAGTTATTCAAATTTCGTCTGGGTGCATCACGGGGTGTTTCTCCATAATTGAATAGCTGCATAATGGCAGTACGTTTTCAAGGTTAGCTGGGTTAGGCTTTGAGGGATGCCACAGAACGGTTCTGGTCCGATATGGTCATCTTTAGCGCCCTTCTTCGCCAGTTTGTCCGCCTGCTCTTTGCCCTCGTTCCCAGCGTGACCCGGAACCCATCGTAGAACGACTTTGTTGTTTTTGCCCAGAGTTCAGTGCCTGTTTGCAGTTGTCGACCAGCTTTGATCTAGTTACGTCGGAGACTAGTGCTAAGAGTGCAGCTTGACTATATCAGAGTGGATGTAGATAGTATGATTGAGGTAGTTGTTTTTCAGATTGGTTACCGCACATTCCAAAACGGCGTAAACTTCCGCCTGGAATATTGAGGATTACCTTCCCATGTCCAGATTTATAGCCTTCCTTGGGGCTTCTCCATAAATTCCACATCCTACCTCAGAGCCCCAATTTGGAGCCGTCAGTGAACCACTTTAAGCTTCCATTATTCCAAACCATACGACTGTTTGTCCAGTCGTCCCTGGTAGGTATCTCCACAACGTGAGAATCGACTCTCGGGGGCATGGTGTCAGCAGGCATCCCCAGAATTGGTTTATTGTATATTGAGTCCATAAGGTACCTCAACTTACATGACAGCCATGTTTTCGTCTCCATGCTAGTGATCCTGTACATACAAGCCCTCGCCACCATTTCTATGTGTAGATGTAGGGGAGGCAGGTTTGCAAGAGCCTCAAGAGAAGCAGTCAGGGTGGAAGACATAGCTCCCGTTACAATAAGACAGGCAGTCCTCTGTAGACGGCTAAGTCTTGATATAATAGTACTCTGTGTCGTTTTTCTACTCCAAACCACCGCGGCGTAAGACACCTTCGGCCTTATGATTTCCCGCTAGCCGACAAAATATCATCAGAACTCTTTTAAACTTCTGTATAATTCCGTCTACATGTGCGTTCCAGGCAAGTTTCTGGTACAGTGTTAACTCCAGATACTTAACCTCCGTCGAGAACGAAGTGAGCCTCCCATTTATGGTCGGAGGCGAAAGCTTATCCAGTTTTCGTTTCCTTGTAAATGGGACGACCACGGTTTTGCCTGCATTAATCGACAAACTATTGTTTTTGCACCATGAGTTATTAGTGTTCAGCGCCCTTTGCATAAAGTACAATAGCGTACTTTGACAGTTTTCTCTCACTATCACCACCAGGTCATCGGCATAGCCCAGGGTGTCAAAGCGGAGTTCAGCCATCTTATGGAGGAGCTGGTCCACTACAAGAGTCCACAGTAGCGGAGAAAGTACTACACCTTGCGGGCATCCTCTTGTTGTTCCTAACTCTAGTGAATCATTGAGTAGTTCCATCCTCACTGTCCTACTCTCTAGCATGGCTCTTATCCATCTTACAGTAGTGTAGAGATAACTCATTGGATTTTATTGTCTCGTACTTGACGGACAGAGTACAGAGGGTTGATATCAATGGCAAAAGATCCCCTGGATCGAAAGTTAAGATGGGTGTTCCGCAGGGCTCAATACTTAGTTCTTTCTTGTTTTTGATTTATATAAATGACTTGCCTTATTTCGTAAGGGATGATCACGAAATAGTTTTGTTTGCGGATGACACTTCACTTTTGTTAGACCCTCCTGCTAGAGGCGATGGTCGCGCTTTAGCGTTCCGGTTTTGGGGTTCGACCACTCCAGCCGCATGTTTACCCTTCCCTCGCCGGCTTCCGTCCACGACCATTGGCGCTCTTCCACCCCGAGGTTGTGAGTCCTGGGGTTTCTGTGTACCTCTGGTCGACGGCGTTGGTTCGGCGGCAGGAGGTGGTTTGGACGAGGACTGTTGATCCTGAGGGACCTGATGGTCACCCCTGATCTTGAAATAGACCCTCTTAAAACCGAGGGTCACCCAGTAATCCTTCTCTTTGAGGGCTCCAACGGAAGGTTCGTCGATGGAGCAGGTGACAAGCCTTCCCCTTTCTTGTTTAGGACCCTCCAGAGTTCAGGATTTATTCCATTATTTTGTACCCTCAACAGGGCTATTACCTCAGTAATTGAGGCAGCCTCCGTAATTGAGGCAGCCTCCGTTGAGATATCTTGTTTGTTAATTATAGGTGAAATCCAAACACATTGTTAGGTTGACGTTGGTTTATTAAAAGAGATAATCACAAATTATTTACCGTATTTATAATAGTCATCAACATTATACTAATACACGCACACATATACTTAACACAATTACACCTAAATTATAATTATTAAATATCAGCATTCGATGTGACCCACTTTTAGTTTCACTGTGTAAAATAAAAAGTTTTAATTTGTTATTTAAACATTTTCATACCATTACACGCCCCCTGAAAATGTATGTTACACCCCCTCCCTAAAAGGGAAAAAACTTTGTCACATCGAACTTTTTTTTTTACAAAATATTATGCAAAATCAAAACAATAACTAAATAAGGGTTAAGTAACATCATAGAAAAACTTGGTGTTATTTTTATACTAAACACTCTTTATTATTTTTTAATATTCTAACATTTGGTGATAAATCTTCTATCACCTCATAGGGGCCGTTATATACGTTATCTAATTTATCTCGGAGT